GTAAAATAATATCTAAAAAAAATAAAGGATTATCTATACGAGGGAATGGAGATAGCGAAGGAACTTGTATTAACTCTCAAGCAAAATAATAAGTCGCACGTTGGATATGGATTACAAAAGGAGTGCGAAGCTCTTGTTGGGCACATTTTACAAAATATGGTCAGATCCCAGATGCCTCCTCTGCACGCTGTAACGAAAAATAAGGAAGATTCTATTAGATACAGAGAAGAAGGTATATCTTATTTCCCATGTTGTCTCATGTGCTGTAATACATTCTAACAAATTTTCAGGTAATCAACATTTTGTGATGGGTAACGATCTGGAAGCTATCGAGTGTTACACTCTGAGCTTAGCATATGCTGATAGCGACGAACTTATGGCATACGCACATGCAAATCGATCCGCTGCTTTATATAGGAAACAATTGTATAAGGAATGCCTGATAGATATTGATGCGGCTTTGTCTCACGGATATCCAAAAGAGAAACAAAAAAATTTAAGGGATAGAGGGGATAAAGCGATAACGGAGATAAAAAAGTTGCTGCAACTAGACTTGAAGGATATTGATGATCAGAGAATTACGAATGAATCACATTTATACGACAGTATCGAGAAATCTGTTACAGAAGACATTGAACACGTAAAGAACAGGGCAGGGATGATAAACAATGAAGGAATCCCGCAGAAACAAGGCACAACTAACGAGAGTTATCTCCATTATGCAACGAAGATCCCTCCGCGGAAACCGAGATATTTGCAAGAAGAGAACTTCTCCAAGTTAATGAATGGCCCAAGCCGAGAAGTTCCCGCTGTTAGTGATGGCGTCACGATATCCTTCTCTGAGAGATATGGTAGACATTACATAGCGACACAGGAATTTAAACCTGGTGATATAATCAGCATCGAAGATCCGTATGCACATGTTATCTATGAAGAACGGTGAGCTATTAATTAAATTGTATTGTTTAAAATTTATTTGATTTATTGTCTCTATCTATATTTTTCGATATATTTACATTCTTGATTTGAAACAGACAAAGGTGAAGATAAATCATTGTAAGAGATGTAAGATTGTGACGCATCAAATATATATAGAACACAAGTTACTTATAAACTTTAAAAGTTACTTATAAACTTTAAAAGTTTAGATAATATTGATATATAAATAATTATATAATATTGATAATATTGGTAAGATTAGATAATATGAATTTGATATGATGACTATAAATCTCTTCTCATCTTCTTTTATTTTAACTTTCTTCTTATTGTTAGCATAAGTGAAAAACTACCGAGAACCGATTCTTATAATTCTTTCTTTAATCTTTTTAAAAATAAGAGACCATGATTTAATCATTTTATGATTTAATCAAAATTACAATTCTATCTAAAAGCTACAAAAAAAAAAATCAAAGATGCAAGGAAGGATTGATTTTCTTCTACTATGTTAAAGTTTTAGAAAAAAAAAAAGTATTAAATATATTACGATCAAAATGTAGTGATCAACTATATAAGAAAGAACAAAATAAAAAAAGATAATTCAAATGTTCATTTATAAGAAAAGAAGTTATAAACATAAGTAGTTTAGTTTTGTGATTTCACAACTACATTCTCCTCCTTAATTGTAGAAAACTTGTATACTCATTTATAGGTATTATACACATTGCCACTATTGTCTAGCCAGAAGCTACAATCTAATACCGTGTTCAGAATGCCCGATAGCTCAGTATTGCTCTGAGAATTGCAGGAAGCTGGCGTGGGAAGCGTGTCATGAGATGGAATGTCCAATTCTAAAGTTGTTGACGAACTTGCTCAATGTTGATAAAGATAAAATAAGAATGATTTCGAAGATCATTCGATTGCTGATTGTAGTGACCCAGAATGGAATTAGAATTGAAGAACTGCAACAAGATATGAAAACTGCGGAATCTAATTCAGGTATACATCTATCATATACAAAATATTAATATATTGGAGCGTTGATAATCACATAATTCTTTGATCCTTTCTATTGCAGACAATAGAACGGCAGGATTTACAAATACTGGGATATTAGACAGTTTTAGCGCGCGGTCCGCACTGAGTCTGGCGACCAATATGACTACGAGACCGCTGATCGGGATCAGCGCTTTCGCCTGCATCTCGGCCCTTGCGGTAATCCTTTTAGCTACGCAGACAAAATTTTTTCCTAAGAAATATGAGATTGATGATTTGAAGGATATCAGCGAATTTTCCGAGCTCAAATTTTGCGCCAGTATAATGTTTCGTGCTTGTGTAATAATGTCTTCTAACTGTTTTTCGGTGAGTTTTCTTTTTCATTATGATTTCATTAAACCATTACTACTTGGACATATTTTTTATATCTTTGAAAATATGTTGCTAAAGAAATTATTATATATAATTAGTTTCTCTCCCTCTTTCTCAAAATATAGTTTATATATTATCCTATAGATACAACAAGAACCAGGAATTGTGTCGGGTTCGGGATTATATGTGGCTCACAGTCTATACAATCATTCTTGCGCACCAAATACTTTTCGACATTTCGAGGGACTAACCATGATTACGCGTGCCTTAACACCTATACATCCCGGAGATCAAATATTCACAAGCTACGGCGGTATTTATGCGCACATGCCACGATCTGAGAGGAAACAAAAGATACTGCAAGATTATTTTCTCGATTGTGATTGTCCGGCGTGCAAAAATGACTGGCCGACATATAATGACATTCTGCGAGAACATATTGGATCTATCTCCAAGAATAAGCAACTCGTGGAAAAACTGACGCCTTTCAGGGAGAGATTACTCGCAAATATGTACGATATCGAGGCGGTGAAGGCCGTTCTAGATATATTATACAAGGAAGTGAATAAATATCCATGTGAAGAAATACTCCACGCGGAGCAGTATTTAAAAAGTTATTATTTGGGTAAATTTAAATAAATTTTACAATTAATGCTTTATGCTTCAGCATAGTCTTCGTATGTTTAGCTCTGCTTATTGATTTTTGCTTTGATAATTTCTTGCTCACTATTTCCTTGATTAATATCTTTAAGTAATTATGTACTTAATACACTTTGTTTTTCTTATTACAGTAAATAAAACTACTTTCAGCAGCAATTATTGATACAATTTTTATAAATGGCTATTTCCTGCTTTGCTTATCGCTTTATCATTCGCTACAATTGCGCGACACAATAGTAAATACAAAACATGTTCTTTTGAATTTCAGATCCATGAATTGTCAAGAAATATTAATGGTAAGATTATAACATATTGTTTTAAGAAATGTTCTTTTCTTTAGAACATATATTATAATATCTAAACGTTAACTTATTATTAATGAGACAATTTGCATCACGTATGTTGCATGAAATATGCACAAAAGAAAACTCAAAGTAATTTTTTTCGATATAAAATTTTGTTAAATTATTGTATTGTAAACATTGGATATTTAGATAAAACAAATTTACTTTATTTAATTGTAAAAAATATTACGATATCCTATCATAAATCATTGGTTATCAAGAAGGAATTATATCAAGGAAAACCAGAAAACGATCTAGGAAAATAAACAATATAACACGATTTGAAATAGAAAATACATTAATAATTACTTATATATTTTATCGTAATAGGCATTCAATATGACATGTTACAATCGGTATTTAACAGTGTCGGATAGGAAAAAGTTTTAGGGGCAGTGTTTCAATTTCTTATTCTGTGTGTACACTATACATTACTTTATCAAAGTAAAAAATAATTTACAATGCGCGTATCTCAGCAAGCTCGGCGTCGATAAAATGAAGTATCGTTAATAGTACTTTACACTTAGTGATTAAAAATTAAAATTCATTTCAATACCGTAGATATACTTTTTTTCAAGCATGGGACACACACATGTGCGAAACATGGCAATACATTACATTATGCTTCAAAGATTAAAATGTATTAATATATATAGATTTGTCAATAAAATTGCAAAAAAATTTTAGAGGACGTTAAAAACTTACCTATAAAGATTAAAATTTATTAAAAGGATGAAATGTTACTGCCATATATTTAAAGTTAAGATTCAAATTTTGATCATGTGTATTATTTATATATAAGGAAAACAAATTAATGCGATCAAAAATGATCAGCAAAATGATAAAAAAACAATTATATAAAAATGTGACAAGAAGGGCATATTTCCATCAGTCTGTTGCACTTGGGATTTATTTTTATTCAACATCTTAAGAAATTATCGACGCATGTGTGTGATTAACAAAAACTGCAGTTTCCGGAATATAAATTATTCCCATGACAATCCTACTTGAGATCAAAATTATAAAATATAATTGGTACTTCTGCAAAAAGACAAGCTACGAAATATATCAATTTGCTGTGAAAAAAAGCTATATTAT